AGAGGGGGGGGGTCGAACCAATTTTTATTTCCTTTGTTTTCGCATCGAAGTTATATTTTGAAGAAAAAGAAATTTTCGAATAAAGGAACAGAGTTTCAAGGGCAGCGATTATTATTCTGACTTGAGAATAGCGGCCAGGATAACGTTGGATTTACGACATTGTGTTGATCTGAAAAGAATACATGCAGTAGATTCAGAAGTAATTTCTTTTAAGGGTGGACTAAGTCTAACGAATGAGATATTTTGTCCTTGTGCGACCTGGTGCCAAGCCCAAAGTAACACAAAAAAGAGTAAAACAAAATAATTATATATTAAAAAATTGAAAACAAATCAACATCCTTCAGTAAAATCCACACAGAAGTGTGTTTGATAATGGACCCCTCATCCTTCCACGAAAAACCCAACAATTAAATCGACAGAAATTGCCGGTTTCTTCGAATTTTTGACGAGCGTCTGGTTTCACCACGAGGCCACACATTGTATTCATGGACGGACGGTAGTAACTGCCGACCAGCAGGTTGCTTTAACGCCCACACCTCGGATTTCCAGCAAATGATACTAAACATATTATGTACATATATCATTTTAAACACAATCAAATTACGATCGGTGTAGGTTACATAGAAATACTCATTTTTACTAAATGATATTTTGTATAGATATATTTGCCTGTGATATGGTCTGCAACTATAACTCAAGACCGACAGTCTTGGCTATAACCTTGCGGAACGCATCTAAAAATAGCTTGCCTTTGTTTTTTTACACTTAAAGTAAGCATTTTTGACTAGGATAATATTGACAATGACACTACTTTTTAAAATAGTTTTAGTAGAGGTTTTACGGCGCTGGCAACTGCATAAGGTCATATGAGCGCCAGAGGATTAGGCGTGTTACAAGAGAATAACAAACATAAAAGAGAAGAAGGGGAGGTAAGGACGATAGATATTTCATTGGAAAGAAGAAGCAAACCACACCAGAGCATCCGCCAACCACCCACTGACACTACTTTGATCGAGTACTACCTCATATGCAAAACATAGGAGTGCGTATATTTTCCACGTATAACAGACTATACGAACACGTATTAAGTCACGCATAACAAACTATACAAACATGCACTACTACATGTTTAACATACCAACAACTAACCCCTACTTTGGCAGATCCAGTCTTACTATCGTGCCAGCAACCACTGATCAGGGACTTCTTTTTTGGAGCCAAAGACCTCAGCCGACCCCCACAGCTCCCGAATTGCCGTCTAATTGATGTCCCCGGGGATCCTGAAGGGTCCATCTACCCCCCGGGTAGACAGACCTCCGGTCACCATATCTACGTCAGTCCGGCTCTCCGCACAACATGGCCACAGGAACGGAGTAGGCAAACAAGCCAGGATGTCCACTGGTCTGCTCACAGGGTCAGTCTTGTTTTTCCTGTTTTTCCCCTTTTTTTCAACGTTTTCCTCAAGTTTTCGTTTTACGTTTTATTGCCCCCCCCCCCTCATGTTCTCTTCCCCTTTTTCAACTGTTTTCCTCATGTTCTCTTCCCCTTTTTCAACGTTTTCCTCAAGTTTTCGTTTTACGTTT